AAATATAATTAAAATCATGCCATATTTTGTAAAGAGTTTGATTTGTAGCAAATAAAATTTTTTATTTACAATTACTACATCTTATGCCTTCAGAATAGTATCATTAATGACTGATTAGTAAGGGGAATACTAAATACATTAAAGTCTCATTAAATTAGACAAGATAATATGCTAATGCATGTATACCTGTCTATATTCAGTAAAACTAGTACATATCAATACAAAATATACACAATATACAGTATAGCAACATGGGCTTATGGAATACTGACAAAGAAGCAAGTGTAGCAAGAGGGAAAGTGTACAGAACTCAACAAGAACTTACGACATCATCTAAGAAAACATTGTACTTGTGGTACATAGGCTTTACAGTTTCACAAAACTGCCTAAATAACAGTCTCCCTATGGGCTGCTCATCCACTACATAGCTGTACTTTACATCTGCAAATAAATGCAATACAAAATTAGACTTCTGTCAAATACAGAAACATTTATGTACTTCACATCAATAATTAACTGATATAATCATAAATATAATTACAAAATTTTTATGGAAAATAATTTTTTACCACATCAGCCATCTATCCTCAATCCTCCTTCAGAGTCAAAGGCACTGTACTTCCCACTTCAAGGACTCATGTCCAGCTCACTGGATTCCCTAAATACTTTCACAAATATTACCTTGCACTCCAACTGCACTCAAACCCTAAAAATCACTTTAATCTCCACTCACTCTCATCTATCACACACACAACTGGCCACTAAAACCTTTACCACTTAAAACCTCTTTCACACCCTCCCTTCAAACTTGCTTGTATTGACCCTTATACCTTCTTGCCATCCCAGATTTATACACCCTCTATCATCCTGGTTGGTAGGTAAGACACAAAGGCAACAGTTAGGCAACTTTATTCCGAAACGTTTCGCCTACACAGTAGGCTTCTTCAGTCGAATACAGAAAGTAGGCAGGAACAGTAGAGATGTGAAGACGATGGACTGATTACATCGTCTTCACATCTCTACTGTTCCTGCCTACTTTTTGTATATGACTGAAGAAGCCTACTGTGTAGGCGAAACGTTTCGGAATAAAGTTGCCTAACTGTTGTCTTTGTGTCTTACCTACCAACCTGTCGGTATTTTATACCATTTGGATGTTCATCTTGTCAGACACTGCAACACATAGCCTCTTGGTACAGAAAACACCTTGGACAACCCTTTCAAGTGAGAACTGTTGGATCTGAGAGGGACCTGACCTCTCAGTGGCTACATTCTCACTATTACTACTACTCTGCACCTCTCCTTCCGACAGTATTTAAGTCTCCGCACTGTCGCTTGATCTTCAGATAGTTCCTGACTATGGAACTGAACTCTCCAGGCTGAGGGACTGACAACCTCAAATTCTACGACTTCAAGGGTGATGGACTGATTACATCGTCTTCACATCTCTACTGTTCCTGCCTACTTTCTGTATTCGACTGAAGAAGCCTACTGTGTAGGCGAAACGTTTCGGACTAAAGTTGCTTAACTGTTGCCTTTGTGTCTTACCTACCAACCTGTCGGTATTTTATACCATTTTGATGTTCACTCTGTCATCCTATTCTGCTCCATCATTTCTAAATAGCCAAAACAACCTTAACAGCCCCTCTCTGCCCTTTGAATTATACCATCTATAGGCCCACACCATCTCAATGTTTCTGCTCCTAATTCTATGCATAATATTCACACCACACATAACATTCCCACTGCATCCAGTTTCCTCCTCCCTGCAATATTTAACAGACCATGCCTCACACCCATATAAAAGTGCTGGTAAAGTACCACTTTTTCTCTAGTGCATTCCCCTTTTTGCCTCCATAGATTAATTTTTTTTCTTTCCACACAAGCATAAATACATGATATACTTTTTCCTCTTGTTTATTCTATGGTTCACCTATACTTTAATAGACACATCTGACAACATATCCACTCCCTAATATCTAATTAATACTCCCTCCCTCTAATCAGATATCTTGTACATACTTCGTTACCTTACTCCTTACTATGCTCATGTCTAATTTCTTTCTTTACTGTACAACTCTACAACTCCTCAACCAACCTTAGCCATTTATCTTTAGAATCTCACGAAAGAACTGTGCCATCAGTAAAGAGTAACAATGACAACTCATTTCTTATCAGACTCGATGCCTTTCAATCACACATATTTGCCAGACACCCTAGTATTTATCTTTCTTACAATGCCATCTATAAATATATAGAAGAACCATGGTAATATCACATATCCCTAAAGCCCACTTTTACAAGAAAATAGTCCCCTTCTCTTCAACTTACTCTCACCTGAGCCTGGCTTTCTGTATAAACTCTTTACCTACTCCACACCTTTGCAATGTCAGACACACTTTTTCCCCTTATTCACCCTATCATATGCCTTTCTAGTCCATAAATGTGACAAATGTTCCATAGTCTTACTTAACTATTGTTCATTTATATGCTCTAATGCAAATACTTGATCTACACATCTCCTACCCTTTATATAACATCAATGTCCCTCTGTAATGTTGCTTTTTGTCTTATTTGTAATTCATTAATACTTATACCTGGTACACTCAGACTTATTCCCCCAGGTGCATAAACACTTACTAGAATCTACTTCTCACATCCCATCTTTATTGTAATCCAGATGATTCTTAAATTTAAACACTTATAATTCTCCTTTCTTTTCACAGTTTATCATTTTAGTTTAGCATGTACTACGATTTCATTGTGTCAGTGAAATGATTATTTACAGACAAAGCTGTTCCAAGAATTTCATTTAAAGGTAGTACACAAAGTTTAATATAAATGGATGAGGGATTTGTAAAGTAGAAATAATGCAAAGAGAATAAAGGCAAGAGAAAAAATGAAAAACACAAATGTGAGTGAGCAGGTGGAACAAGGATTGTTGGAGAGAGTGGGGTGACCTTTACTTCTGTACAATAAGGGAAGCACCACCAAGCAATATTGGAATGGCTGGTAAAGTGCAAATATTGGATATTCATTTCCAGAAACTCAAATATGAGATTAAGAGAGTGGATATGGCAAGAATATAAAAGAAATAACTAGAGACAACTTTATGGGAATGACCTAAAATACAGTAGTAAATTGAAAATAATGTAGAAAGGGCATACAGAATCTAGAGAAGCAATATGAGTGAGTAAATGAATGAAATAACTTGGGGCCAAAAGGTAGGTGTGAGGACCTTAAAAGGTATATATGAACGTAGATACAAACAACTCCATGGGGAATTGGAACAGAATTCTTCCTCCGTAAGCCATGCAGGTCATAGGAAGCAACTAAAATGCCAGGAGCAAGGGGCTAGTAACCCCTTCTCCTGTATAAATTACTAAATTTAAAAACAGAAACTTTTGTTTTTCTTTTTGGGCTGCCCTACTTTGGTGGGATACAGTTGGTTTGTTGAAAGAAAAGAAGATACAAACAGTTTATGAATAATTATTTTACTGTTTAATATATTTAATAACTTTTTCGAGCAATTTATTATGTGCTATATTATATAATAAAGCACTTGAAAAAATTTAAATCTCACAAGATTTTTTGGTTTATTTAACTGCATTTTTATAAGCCCATATTCTTTAATATTTAAAATGAGCAATGCTATAGAGATGATAAATTAGGCTAAATTTACTAACAATAATTACTGTACACAAAAGTAATGCCGCTAACCATATTTATACATAACAAGGCAGAAATCTGAGAACATGCTGAACTGCTCTTACTAAAATAATGAAAAATATTACTATACAATCTATGAATATTCTTGTTAAATAGAAAATATTACAACACACTATGTTTGTTCTTGCTAAGCTCATTAACTGTGTATATTCCACAAGATAATATTTATTATGTGCTTTTTTAAGTTTAGAAATAGACCATACTGTTATGGTTCATTAAGAAGTAGTAGAGGCCTAAGGAAGAGGCTTGGGCTTGGACCAGTTTTATCCATCACCTGCTTGAGGTAAACCAACCCCTAAATCCACACATTGCCCTGGCAAATTTACTCACCTTTGTAAAAGGTTAAATTCTTTTGTAAGCCCAATATCCAATCCAAATTGCACTTAAACAGCAAATGGGTTTAGAATCACACTACACAGACAACTGGAGTGACTATTACTGGATACAGTACTTACCTATTTTGCTTTTTAAATCTAGACACTGTGATATATGTGGAAATTGTAATAATTTTCTCCATTTTTTACTTTTTCCCTTATTGCTGTCTGAACCTCCTGTAAAAAATAAACAAATATCTTAGCACATTTCTCAACAAATACAACACAATAATCTCATCAGATAAATTGAAAGTTAAATTAGGTTATTTAAATTTTTCATAATTATTATTAATGATCATAATGCATAATCAAAATATTTAAGATTTTAACTATAGAGAGATGCCCTCATGATGGAATTAAAAACATACAAAAATACATTCAAAAGCTACATATATATGTCACAAGAAGCTTTGCATTAATACAGTATGCAGTACAGTTTATAAAAAAATAACCAAAAAACTGTAGAAATTTTGAGAGAAAAGCTTCAATGCAACCCAGACACTATAGCTACATGTAAGACTAACAAAAACATTCTGATCCCTGATAACCTAGTTCCCTCCCAGGAGCACCTGATCTATGCATGGGGATCAGTATTAGCTAATTACCTTAAACCTATTATTACTCAGCAAAAACCAGCTCTCAGAATTATTACTCATTCAGGCTCCAGAAAACACCCCACTTCCTTATTCAAAAGTTTAAATTTACTTAAACTACACAAGACAGGCAGGCCCCACTTAACAGCTCACTTAACAACTCACTTTATGGCATTTCGCTAATACATACAGTGGTTTTCAATTATACTCATTCTTCATTTATTCAAACTTCCTACAATAAATATATTCACCATTCATTATAAGCTCACTTAATATATGATAACGTAAACATGTTATCAGACTTTTATATGCATTTTAAAGTGAAACAAAAGGCTATGTTTCACTTTACAGCAAATTTTACTTTACAGCAGTAGCCTGGAACCTAACCTGCTGTATAAATGGGGCCTTCCTGTACTATATTCCTCATCAATTAGGCATACAAAAAACTACTTCACAACTAAATACAACACTGTAATTTTGCATAGAAATGTATAAAATATTTTGCCTACAATATAGCAACCAAGCTTGTTGCTAAACAAAAATGACATCATGACAATCCCTTGTATACTGGTGAGAATTTAATAGTTACATCTAATCTTGTGTAATTATACAATGTCAGGGACAAATGAATTTTTCATGATGTTGAATATAAGTGTTTCCAAGTTCAATGACTTGCATGGTTTTGTATTTAGTTCAGTAGCACTGCTCAAGTTTGTTCGGCTCATCTATAATGCATATCCAAGTGGTGTTTCATACATTATTTCTACATCTGAATTTATTAGACGAATTCACTATTGCTAGTTCTCTTTTGGTTATTGTAGACACAGAACAATATTTTCATCACCTTACTGGGTATTTAAACTCATTTGCACCTACCCCACATTATAATATTAAAATCTTTTGCAGCTTCACAATACACTCTGTTTTACAATGTACTATGTGCATTAATTTCTGAATGATTAAAGCAGTTTACAAAATTAAACACAATAAGTTATTTTAGGTTACATCATTTTAACAACTAAATGTCAAACCATACCACGGGTGGGGATAGAACTCGCGATCAGAGAGTCTCAAAACTCCAGACCGTCGCGTTAGCCAATGGACCAGCTAGCCACAATAAGAATCGTCCAACTAGGTATATTTCTACACCATAGGAAGGTTAGCATAGGCACCACTGTGACCACAAATGCAAGTTTTTACAGACGAATCTCCAGCTAGCATCGCTAACGCTACTGTCTGGAGTTTTGAGACTCTCTGATCACGGGTTCTAACCCCGCCCATGGTATGGTTTGTTTGCAATCGTGTCATTACGATTTCGTGAATCATGTTAACAGCTTTGAGGGGATTTGAGCTAGAGTTCGTCACGGCCACGCTAGCTGGAGCTTTGTCTGTAAAAACTTGCATTTGTGGTCACAGTGGTGCCTATGCTAACCTTCCTATGGTGTAGAAATATACCTAATTGAACAAATCTTATTGTGGCTAGCTGATCCAGTGGCTAGCTGGTCCAGTGGCTAACGCGACGGTCTGGAGTTTTGAGACTCTCTGATCGCGGGTTCTATCCCCGCCCATGGTATGGTTTGTTTGCAATCGTGTCATTACGATTTTGTGAGCCAACTAAATGTCCAGCAGCACAAGATACATCAGTTTCTTAATTCATTCTTGTACCAAGAAGGATGCACTTTCAGAATTCAACCTTGCCTATTTTTCCTCAGCAACCTCCTTTCCTGATATGCTATGTCTGTTTATTCTTTAATTTGCTCATTTATAATCAAACAGTAAACTTTTTCAAAAATATATGTAACCTAATCAAACTGGGCTTCAAAATGAGAGCCTAGCACCTACGTAACATACTGTGCCAAAATGGGAACTCCCTACAAACATTCATACCTCATAACAGCCCTCGTGGCCACATCCGACATCTCCAAAACTACAAGTACCACCAACACTACAAGTACTGTACAATAAACAATAAGCACCATCTCCAACACTGCAAGCACCACCTCCAACACTACAAGCACCACCTCCAACAATACAAGCATAGGTATACATCGAGTTAGAAGTTCCATCGAGTTTCATGAATATTTTTATTGGAAAGTGTGTAATACAGATATTAGTACAACACAGTTAGTTTATAGGTATGCTAACTGGAAAATAAATGGAGTTTTTCTGTAAATTTTGACTCAAAAATGAGAAGACCTCTTTTAGATATTATACCGTACAGGCAACCTAATCTAAAGTAACTTAACAAAACATAAATAAACCCAACTTAACCCAACCTAACCTAAAGTATAGTAACCTAACCTTAACTAACAAAACTTTACCTTCTAAATAATTGTTTATAAAGGTGCAACTACACAATTCTGGATGAACTGCAACTGTTTTATATAGTAACATGTATGTAAATTACCTAGGATAACCCAAAAGTCAGTGATTTATTTTCCCCGAGGTTCTTTTAATACCTAACTATTAACTATTACAGTAAAAATTACTCATAATAAAAAAAAGATTAAGTAAATCAAATTAATTACAGTAAATAGAAATAAGCCAAAAATAAAATGAGCAGTCAATCATATACTTGTACATGAAATTATCAATATAACCCGTAGGTTATATAGCACCTGGGGAAAATATGAGGCATTCAGGTGCAATTCAAGGGAAGGGCAGGTCCATTCCCTTGGATTAGGAGCTCCTCACTGGCATCAAGAATCAGGGCCCAATATATGAATATTGTTTACATGAGCATTAAAAAGAAAAAAATCAGTTGAATATAAATTACACAAATGTTAACTATGCAAGAAATCCTTTTACTCCTTTTCTGTAGCTCAGGTATCTTCTTAAAGTGGTTTATACTAGACAAGTCTTATCATTCACACTTATATTTACATTACTAAATTATAATGAACCCTTCCCATGTCCTTTCAAGTTTGTAAATTAATTGGTTAATGGAGTTTCATGCCTATCAATTATACTTATGATAAAAATGTTTATTTTGTTATACACTGAGGTTAAATTGGATGGTTTTGCAATTTATATGGTTACAGGTTGGTTACAGTTTTTCAAAAACATTGTATTACATATTCTAAAGAAAGCCCAGCATTAAGCAAAGCATTTTTGGTCATTAATTGAAAGCTGCATGAAATCTTGCCACCAGACAAGAATACTTTATTCCACCTCCTGGTACATACATGCTGTGTACAAATTGCGATGTAAAGGTCTATTTCTATAAATTACACTCAGGAGACTGCTGGGTGTTAGTATTGGAAGTGTTCACCTCACTGGGCCGCCTAGTCACACACTCATTGGCATGCTGTATATTTTACCAGATACATTCTACCTCCATCACTACAAAGACCAACTCCAATATTACAAGCACCACTTCCAACACTGCATGCATTAACACTAAAATCTTCACTAACATTACTAGCACCAACAACACAACAAGTACCATCTTCAACAATGCATCACCAACACTATAAGCAATAGCACTAAAAGCACGACTAATACTGGAAGCACCATCTCCCATACCACAAGCACCATCAACAAGCACGATCTCAACACTACAAGCATCACCTGTACTGCATCACCAACACTGCAAGTTCTAGCTCCAACACTACATTCCAGTTCCAATACTACAAGTACCACTTCTAATAATCCAAGCATCACCATCACTACAAGCCCCATAAATAACACACACAAACATAATTATTACAAGCACATATTTAACACTGTATCCCCAACACAATAAGCATCAATACTACTAGCACCAACACTACAAGCACACAAATACTACAAGCACCAACATTACAAGCACCACCTCCAACACTACAGGTGCCACCTCCAACACTAGGCACCATGTCCAACAAACATCATAAACACCTCCAAACACTACAAGCACTACCTACAACACTACAAGCACCTCCACCCTTACAAGTACCACTAACACTACAAGCACCACCTCCACCATTATAAGCACCAACACAAACAAGGACCACATCCAGCACTATACAAACACCAGCACCTTAATAAGCAACATTACAAGCACTTCCTCTCTTACAGACACCCCCTCCAACACTACAAGCACCACCCCAACAATACAAGCACCAACACAAACACCTCTAACAAGCACCATCCTCAAAACTTCAAGCACCTACAACACTACAAGCATCACCTCCATTATGAGCACCAACACTACAAGCACCTCCACCTTTGCAAGCACCACTTCCAAAATGACAAGTACCTCCAACACTACAAACACCTAGAACACTACAAGCACCACCTTACCATTATAAGCACCAACACTACAAGCACTTCTACCCTTACAAGCACTACCATTATAAGCAAAACCACAAGCACCTTCACCTTTACAAGCACTGCATCCAACACTACAAGCAAATCCTTAAAAGCACCACTTCCAACACCACAAGCACCACCTCCAGCACTACAAACACCTCCACAAGCACCTCCAACACACCACCCCGAAGATTACAAGCACGTTCAACACTACAAATACCTCCTACACTACAAGTACTTATAACACAAGTACCTCCTACACAAGCACCTCCTCCAACACTACAAGCACTTCCA